TTTCATTGGTAACATGTATACTATACTGTATATAGTTAGTCAATATTGTTAATAGTCATTCAAACAATTAAATTATTATAGTATTAAAACCAATTGACAATCAGTCAGTTTTGACAAACAAAACAGCAGTTTGGAGTTGCTGTAATTTAATGAATATCATCCTGCTCAAGACCCCTCATGCATCAGTTCATTAAAATCCAGTCTCGTACTCACAATGTATGATTGCAGCACACTCATTGATAACTATATTATTGTTCATTTCACTCTGTTTTTGTTGTTGTTGTTTTTTTCCATTAGGACAATCTAATACAAAACCATAAAAGTTGTTTTTCCACGGCTACCTGCTGCCTATGGTAATTCTTCTTATTAGTATAGAGGACACTCTCCCTGTGATTCCAGTTGCTTTTCTCTGTGCACTGGGATGTGTTGCCTCAGAATGCTAATGAGCTCAAGTAGGACATGAGGACATTACTCAGCAACCAGCACTGATGTGTTTGCATGCCTGTTAAAGCACCAGCAGGGATTGGAAACGTACTGACTTGGTTAATATGCTGCTGTGTTTGGTTGCATCCTTTTGAGCCTATTTTAAATCACTGGAAAAATAGCCAAATGCAATATACTCATGAATAAGTGTGCTGTTGTTTTGAATATCACTTTTTGGCCTTAGGGTCGAGGTCAAAGAATCCAAAGCACCAAGCTGGAATGGAGATTATGAGCGGAGCGACAGTTATTTCCTGCAGTTTTAAAGAGTGAGTGAGATCTGAAAGTGTTTTTGCAGTGTCTGGACTTTCTTCAGCTGAAGTGACAGTAGAAGACCTTGAAGCAGCTGGCGTCCAGCTCAGTACCTCCCCTCACTGATTACAGCACACCTTTGACAGCCAGAACATTTGTCAGGGCCGCCCACTGCACTGCCCTCTCTGCACTTCCTGCTGCAGCCCACATGCATGCTCCTCACTTTGGACACACATGCACACAGTATTTCTCCAAATGATATTTCGTCTTCTTAGACTCAATGCAGTCGTGTGTGGCTTGGGAGTTTGAGTGATTGGACGGTATCTGTTCACTCGGCTTTGCATAGTCTTGTTTAGATGATGATTTGGACTACATGGAAAAGTATTAACAAATACAGTTCAGTGGAAAATGTAATAAAACATACACTACTGTTCAATGTATATTAAATATATATTATTGTTGTTATAATGTTTTTAATAACATTCTGGTCACACTTTATTTTAAGTATGAAATAAAGTGCAATTCTCGCCATTAACAAACCATTAACTACGACTAGTACTGCATCGCATGTCTTCGATGAGAAGAGGAAGGGTGGTTGTTGCTGGTTACTGTATGACGATTAAAATTGCGAAATGCCCTTAAACAATTAAATAAACTGCAGAATGTTATGTTTTCTAATACACGCAGGAATTGCATGTGTTCAAACAGCGCTGCACGAGCTCGCGGCGGTAGGGTTCATAGTCCAAAGCACGAGGGAATCTGCGCTGAAACTGTGTTACTCGTCAGCTGCTCAGTAACATTTTTATGAATTTTTACAAGGCATGTGACAATGCGATGCGTGCAACAAACGTCTTCCCAAATCCGTAATGAGAATCATTTGTCAACAAAAAGAAGCACTGAGGTCTTCCTGCGGGTTTCTGCCAAAATAAAAGTTGAGAAAAAGCAAGAACTCCGTCAACATTAATAAATGTTATTATTGTAATTTTACTGTTGCTCTGTAAAATAAAATAAAAAACGAAAATAATAATGAAAATAATAATTACAACAGCTCTATTAAAACATTTATTGTAACATTTACACATAGTGTTCAGACTAGGAACTATAATATTTTCTAATGTTTTAAAATAAGTCTTTTCTGCTCAGCAAGGCTGCATTTATTTGTAAGTCAAAAATACATGCCTGATTCAAGAAGGGGGTCTAAAAAATGGCCAAAAAATATTTTGCTAACTTATTAATTTATTAAAAAAACGTGAAAAACCGTGTTCGGTATTGGGCCTTCGGCCCAGTGTTTCATTTTGTTCGGCTTCTGCCAAGATTTTTCATTTCAGTGCATCCCTAGTCCCTATACTAAAGTATTACCAATATTCTTATAATCAGCACTCATTAATTTGGTGCTCAAGAAATAGTTTAATGTTGGAAAGAGTTGTACTACTTCTTTACAAAAAAATCTGAACTTTCCATTAAAGCTTTCCATGCAAGTTTGAAGGTCCTTGGCAGTCTGAAAATCTGTAGTAGACTTTCTTGTTTTTATCAGCAGAGGAGTTCGAGTCAAGTTATTTTTATTTGTATAGTGCTTTTTGCATTTTGTTCTGTGATCCATGTTGTGTGACAGCAGCTGAGGCAAAGCTCTGGTTATCGTTTATAGTTTTTTTATCTTCATCTCTGCAAACTTATGCTGCTGGAATGCCTGTGCAAACTTGTTGTCTGAATTCAGCACGTCTACAGTCCTTTGTTGGAGAAGGTTGCCTTTTCTCTGACGATGGGCCACAAACAAAATGAAGTTGAAAAACCATGCACAGTATCCTTGGTGTATGGTTTTGCAGATGCATCACAATTTACAACAACAAAGTACTTTCCACATGCCCCTCAAAGTATGAGATCAGAGTGTCAGAATTTGAAATAAAAAAAATTAGAAACCGCAACTGAGCACTATTGAAGATTTACCTGAGCTCTAAATCTGATGAAGATTTAGAAAATATCTAGATTAGCAACAGCCTGGGATAGATTTGAGCTACTGAATGAAAGATTATAATAATTTTATTTGAATAGCTTGAATATGGTAATGGTGTGATATCTATGTATGCATGAATTTAGCGTAACAAACCGACTCTATTTGGAAACTATTGAGTATGTTTATTTATTCTGTCTTCGAGAAGTTGCAGTCATTAGCATTTGCAAATCAGGCCATGCTCAAAATGTGAAAATACCAGTGTCTTAATCTGCTGGCATGAAAATTCACCAATCTTTTTAAATGCATGTTATTGATCTAATTGTGAATGATTCATCCATGCATTTTCCATTTTTTTTAAAACATTTGTTTTGAACCCTGTAATTTTTAATCAACTTTTTAAATGCATGTTATTGATCTAATTGTGAATGATTCATCCATGCATTTTCCTTTTTTTTTTTAAACATTTGTTTTGAACCCTGTAATTTTTAATCAGAATATCATACCTTGATCTTCTGGTGAAACAAGACTAAAGTATGGCGGACTTTCATTTAGTCTGCTTAAACCCCGTACCTTTCTTACAATCAACTGCATTCATGTCTGCCTCCATCTAATCAACAACTGATAGATAAATCTTTTACTCTTTTGATCATTTCTTTCACTCACAACACGGAAGAAAAGATCTGTTGCTACTTCTGTTTATCTCGACTTCAATTAGATCAAGCAGCTGTATTTTGTATGTCTATCGGTTACATAAAAAGTAGCTGCCCGAGATCATTACCAAAATAGCCATCAGGTGAACTGGCTTGTCTTACAGGGACTTTAAAACACTCAAACTAGCCAATCAAAGTTTTGGTGTTCGGTTAAATTACAAATTCAGTTGGAACTCAATTTTACCACAAGGCTCCTGGTCTAATGAATTTTTAAGCATTCAAGTACAACACCAAAAACATCAAAATAACTTTAAAAGTGTCATGATATCACACTATCGAGCAAGAAGTTTCAAACAAATAGTTTGCATTCTTGCAGGGGTCTGTGTGATAAAGCAGACAGAAAGAAAACAAAAAGATAAAATATATATATAAAAAAAGAATTAGGGAAACACATCATAGATGCCAACTGCTCAATCCACCAGCATTTTCTTCAAACTGTTGCTTGTCCGCAACCTAAAGAATGCTTCCTTTGCAGACAGTATATTGAGACCGAAAGGCAGCAAAGCATGTCTGAATCCAATGTATTCACTGTTGCCTTGTCATTTTTTAATGCCAGCATAGATATATATCCCACCATCCTGTGTGCATGGGAAGGCGTGTGTAAGCGTAAATGTGTGCCCTTGAGCAAAGATGGCAGCAAGCATGCTGTATTCTTCCACATGTGCTGTTAAGATGAATAGAGATGCTAACAGACAGCTCTTTCCAGATAGTACACCTCTCTTTGGCCCGAGACCAGTTTCCTTAGGAAGTGCCTTCATACAAATCCGCTGTCTATCAATAATCAATTGTGCAGCATGGCAGCTGCTTTCAAACACAGTCTGTAGGCTTTTAATCTTGTCTCCACATCAGTGCAGCTGTTAGTAATTGGCAGTAATAAAGACATTCTAATTGGTCTATGAGGCAGAGTGTGCAAAGGGCAACTACAAAGTGATCAGTTACTTCATTACCCAGGACACACACAAATAAATCGCACAAAAATTTCAATCTAAAGTAAAGCTTAGCATTTGCCGAAAGTAAAACTTATAATCTGAGAGCATTTCTAGTTATTGCAAAATGTTTCCTACTGTTCCTTTATCTCTTTATTACTTTTTCCCTCCACATGTATCTGGCTGCAACTATCAAATAACTAATATGGGAATTTTAGGCCCTTGACTTGTTCACTTATCATCCACAAAGCACATGGTATTTAAAGTTAACTTTATAAACATGTATTTTATTTTTGTGTTTTGCAGTGAATTGCCATTTAAATGTATTCATTTTTATTTTTCATCACATGAAGGTCATATGAAGGTTTTATCTGTTGCTCTAAAACCCCTGCAGTCTGTTTATAAGCCGTTCTGGGAGTGCATGTCATGTCCTCATGCTGGTTCGGTGTTTTAATATGTGTGACGCATGCTGAAATAATTAAAGTGACAGAAACAACGTCTTCATGAATAATTCATGTGACATATGTTTTCATGACACTGTTTTTCCCAAAAGTACGTCTAAAATAGCAGTGCAGTACGTGCAGTGGTTTCGACTCCTGTCATTTTCAAATTCACAGTGTTTAGTGAAGGAAGTGTATAATAAAGTGCTGAAATATAATAATGTTTTTTTTGTTGTTTTAGATGAAGTCAACAGAGGTGGATCAAGGCCTTTTCACAGACAGTTACTGCAAAGTGTGCAGCGCTCAGCTCATCTCAGATTCACAGAGAGTGGCACATTATGAGGTGAGACCTGCTTTCTGTCTACATCATGTCTGCTTGTACGTACAAATCTCTCCCTGCCCTTTTGTTTGTTTGATGTTTCTCATTTTAGAAGTTACTATCCAAAGTGTACTTATAGGGCAGGGCTGGGACGATAAATCGATGCAGAATCGATTCGTGGATCGATGTCAGAATCGATGCTGAATCATTTCTCGATTCGCGATGCATCGATTTATTTTCCCAGCCCTATTAAAGGGACAACCCCCCTGGAGCAATCAGAGGTTAAGTGTCTTAAAGGACACAGTGACAGCTAGTAAATATACTGTAGCAATAAATATAGCTACTAACCTGCTTTCTAGACATCTTCTACGATTACTCATAAGAGGTTCTGTGTGCATGTCCTCCAGGGCTGTATGTTAACTTTTAGTCCAATAATCAGGCGCTTTTTGACAGGCTCTCAGTGTGAGCGCGCTTCATGAGTACACGCTCAGAAAAAGCGCATGCAGAACAGCACGTGAATTAAATGTTTAACCGTTATTGCTTTAATAAAGCAGATGGAAATTATGTAGTTTTGAGATTGCGCATGAGTGCAGTGTCCCGTGAGAGTAACTCTACTGCTGAGCTAACACTGGTGTGAATGCATGTGGCTTATGGCGTTGTGCATTATATTGAGACGGAGGGAGGTGCCAGAACTGCAGCTGATAGAATGTGCGCTGTAGCACGAAACAACGATATTTCTTCAAAAGCAGATCGTGGAGACATTTTAATCGTCCATGATCAAAAATCGTCATATCGCACACCCCTAACTACCAAGTATAATCAATCTCACACACACAAACAAGCACAAGAAATCACTTCACACTATTAAGCGGCTGTGTTATGAACATGCAAAACTGTATCGCACGCGTGCTACAGTGGTAAATTTATTCATTGCACAGACCAGTTTTTTCATAGCACGTGCGACATATATGTCGCACTGTACAGCCCTGTCCTCTGATCTGTGTTATGAGGAATACTGTAGCAGCATAGCTGTATTACAGTGTTTCCCTGTGGTCACTGAACGGTGAGTTATATGGCCACTCGTCAACAGAGCTGTAACCTGAACAGGCCCAGATGGGAACATAATGTATTTGCCCAGGCTGGCATGGAGTACAAGAAGAAGGTTGTGTGCTGGTCAGTGTAAAATATTAATTCTGGGTTTGTTTTGTTTGTCTGCGCCGAGTGTGTTACTGGCTGGATTGTCCCATGTGGACTGAGTGATGCAGGCATAGTGAGCCTCTTTGTCCCCTGCCAATGCCCAATCTGCAACCATTCAATGCATTTCAATAGTAGACAGTACTGGACCAGAAAAATTGGCTTCCTGTGGATCCCTAAAAGCTGCTGGTCTTGAACAAATGACCACTTTATTTTCTTTGTCCATCTGAAATGATTTAGTTTGCAAATGTCAATTGATTGCATTGAATCCTCAGTTCTGACTGTCATATCAAGCTACACTCTGGAACAAGAACTCAGTGCTTCAGTTAGTGATGCAACTGAAAATATTCAGCTGAAAAAAAAAAGTTTTTGATTTGGCTGAAGTATTTTTGGAGGACTAATCATTGACAGAAACCAGAAACTGTGTTTTTGGCTGTCATCTGCACCAAACGTGGATAAGCTACAACAAGTAAACCTGTCAGCATGTGGATATACTTCATCATGACCAAAAGTGAGGCAAGAGCAATGTGTGTGCTTTGTTTGGCTGAAATATTGAAAGTTGGCTCATTGCTGAATTTTTTTTCCGCACGACTGGTTAATAATCCCCTGTGAACAACACCCTGAACAGTTAAATGACCCAAAATTTTTATTTTTGTCTTCAGTTTTTGGCTAAATAAATAATTTAATTTTGGTTTTGGTGCATCACTAATTTAGTCTTTTCAGTGGAAAAATGCTATCTGGTGCATCTGAGGCTGCTGGGTAAATTACTAAAAGCTGCTAAAAAGCTAAAATCTTTTTTGCTGATTTTTGCTTAAATTTTGCAAACCTCCACAGGCATTAAATGAAAAATGCTGTCATGCTCCTAATGTAGAAAGACATACTTTTTTGTGGAGAGGAGACCCAGATTTGTGGAGGAGAGTTTTTGTCTCTCGTGCTCTGTCTCACCTCAGACAAACTCCAAAGTGTATCAGATGTGAGCTCAAATATCCACAGACTGTTGATCATAGAAAACATTCGTGATTAAAGTTCAGATTTCACTTTAGATTGAACCCTCACTTTAGAGAGTCACATGTCTCTGTATTATTAATTAAGCATTTTCTTAGAGTATTTATGAAAGACTTTGAAAAGTGCTATGGGATTTACAAAAGAAGTGGACAATCACTGTTTATTTGCAGCTTATCACCCGTGATGCTCAATTATTTAGCAGCAGCAAAAGAGAAAGTATGTTTGAGAAAAAAAAACAGACTGCATCATGAACGGAGTAACAGCATTTATGAAATGTAATATAAACCGTGAACATAAAGGGCGTCGACTAAAACTAGACTAAAATGCTCAGACTTTTAGTTGACTAAAACTTGACTAGACTAAAAAGAGTATGAACGTGACTAAAACTAATAAAAACTAAAATGACAGTTTCACACAAAGACTAGACTAAAACTAAAATTAAAACAGGCCGCCAAAAACAACACTAGTCTCAAGTACACTCTAATGGTAATCAATAAACTAAAACTTAATACAAATCACAAAAACTTTCATTTGATTTAAATGGTTAATTTACTAAATTCTGTATTTGGAATCCTAACATAATCTACTCAATCCTGTCTGGCATTCAGAAGAAACTTCCAATGTGATTTCTTGAACTAATGAGGGGCTTTGTCACAATTTTGGCATTCGATTTAATTTAAAAACAAAATAATTTGTGTTTGCATTGAAAATGCCCCGAAGCTCATATTATTGGGAAGGGATCTGAACTGTAGAAGCTGTAACATCTACAGAGGCTTTAGCGCTCAGGTCATGGTTTTAGAAATTATGCTGAGGGCACAATTTTTCCTCTGCAATGAGCTTTTAATCCTCACTCCTGAAACATCAAAGACTAAGAGAAAGAGAGTCAAAGACAGATTGGAGAAGAGAGAGAGAGAGAGAGAAAATCCAGGCATTTGAACTGAACAGTTTAACAGCAGCTGTATTAAAAAGGACATTAATAATGCAGAAAGACAATCATGGACAGGAATAGCACTTCCAGCGTTGGGTTTCATTTTATAGTCCTCAAAGCACTCTATTTATGTGTTCAAGGTTATTCCATACCTTTTCATGTAAGACTGTGAGACTATCACAAGTACAGGTGTGATAAATGTTATTGTTGAGCTCCAAGCAAACATCTTTTTAAAGGGATAGCTCACCCAAAAATTTAAATTCTGTCATTAATAACTCACCCTCATGTCGTTCCAAACCTGTAAGACCTTCGTTCATCTTCGGAACACAAATTAAGATATTTTTGATGCTTGCCAAGAGCTCTCTGATCCTCCATAGACAGCAAGGATCCTTACATGATCAAGGTCCAGAAACGTGGCAAGGACATCGGTAAAATAATTTATGTGACATCAGTGATTCAACCGTAATTTTACGAAATTACGAGAATACTTTTTGTACGCAAAGAAAACAAAAATAATGACTTTAATGAATTTATCAAAAATATCTTAATTTGTGTTCCGAAGATGAACGGATGAAACTTACGGGTTTGGAACGACATGAGGGTGAGTAATTAATGACAGAATTTTCATTTTTGGGTGAACTATCCCTTTAATGTTAAATCCAAGCATATTGCTGTGCTGTTATGATTGCTAACACCATGCTTCAAGGTGACTTGCTTTTCTACATTTCCGTTATTCTGAAAGATCATGTGAAACTGAAGACTGGAGTAATGACTGCTGAAAATTCAGCTTTGCCGTCACAGGAAAATATGGCATTTAAAATTTTTTTTAAATATGGCATTTTTAAAAAATATTAAAACAGAAAACAGTTATTTTACATTTGAAATAATACATATTTATTATAATACTTTTTAAATGCTACTGTTTTTACTGTATTTTCAATCAAATGCAGACTTGATCAGCATAAAGAGACATCTTTCTCAAAAATATCTTAATTTGTGTTCCGAAGATGAACGGATGAAACTTACGGGTTTGGAACGACATGAGGGTGAGTAATTAATGACAGAATTTTCATTTTTGGGTGAACTATCCCTTTAATGTTAAATCCAAGCATATTGCTGTGCTGTTATGATTGCTAACACCATGCTTCAAGGTGACTTGCTTTTCTACATTTCCGTTACTGACATCAGAAATGCAGTACCAAAAGCAAACGGAAGTTATCTGGTGTTTTTTAAGCAGTAAGCGAGGTCTGTGGCCTGTGTCTCCTATTGAGTGTAATCTCTCTGGTGCGCTATGCTATTTGATTTCTTTTTGTTGTCCCACTCTCTTTCTATCTGTTTGTGTGACCTTGGCTTATGTGTTTTGTCCATGCAATTCCAATCACCGTTCTCTAATCTTACATATGTATGAGCAGCATAGCGGAGAGCACGAAGACTGCAGGCTTTTATTTACACTTGATATTATCAGTGTTCAAGGACAAACCGCCCTCTCATTGTCCTGGATCCTCCTCTGGAATGGTCCATGCAAGTTTGTTTCTAATGAGACTCCTTATTCTAAGGTCTCTTACACTAAGGACTAACGGACAATAATCACAGGTGAACTTTTCTTGTTTCATGTAACTATAATGCGCATAATGTATTGCTTGGAAGTTGATTGATTCTTTCCTCCAACCTGACACAAAACTAGACCTGTATAAATTGTCATGAAATATCAATGTTTAACCTAATTTATTTTTAACACATTTTACCATGTTTAATACATTTAGAATTAATGTCAATTGTCCTGTAAAATTAGGACAGAAAATAAGGGAAAAAGTGAATCATTGACATTGACTGCCATTTTTTTTTGTATGTTTTAGAATTTTTGTGATCTTTTAAATCAGACTTTTGAACATGTGTC